CCCCCCCACCTCATGCTGCTCGCACCCCACCCACAGACCCCCCAACTCCTTCTACGACGGCTACTTCTTCACCGTGGAACTTCCTAATAAATCGGCACTGGTATTACACAGGGGTGAGTGGAGAAACACACGTTCTTTGTACAACAGAAACATTAGAAAAGGACACAAAACATACCGACGAGCGCTAACTTTGGCTTGGTTTTCCCTCCTCCTTTTTCTTTTTTTTTCTTTTTTAATTTTTATTTATTTCCTGCAACCAGGGATTTGAGGCATCTCCTGGCTTCTCTTTGGATGCTGAGTTTGTCTCCGTTTCCTCAGCCCTGAGGAAATCCCTTTACTATGGCAATTGAAACCTGAGACCGTGGCAATATTGTCCTGAAGAAAAGCAATTTCCAGCTGGCAAGGTATGGCCAAGTTGGTTTGTCAGACGGAATCGGGCAGTTTGTTTTGCTTTTGATCTGGGCACTTGATTCCCGTCGCCCTTAGTTCGTATTTGAGTCGCTTCACCAAAAAAAAGGGATCGATGGAAACAACCTGACGACAACCAATATTTAAATTCATCCAAAAGCATCCCTGTGGATGGCTTGGTCTGCAAGGAGCCGGTGCCCCAGCCGGGGGCTTGCAAGCCGGAGTCGCCCGCTGCAAGTGGAGTTGCAAATTTGGGGCATGGGATTTTAGGCATGGGAGAGGGTCAGGACTCAGACACGGGACTCGCAGCCCTGTCAAGGCCAAGTGTTTCTAATCAACGGGTTTGGCATGGGCAGCCAGTGGCCAAAGTTGTTCCTCCAAAGGGATCTTTGCTCTTTCATTGCATGAGGGCAGGAGGCATCAAATATCCCATCCTGGAGATCCAGATTCAGCCTGTGCTGCTTTATCATCCAAAGCCCAGGGGACAAAATTCCCCAAAGCTTTTGAACGACCTGGATGCTCGAATCCTATTGACGCAAGCTCCAATCCCTCGGAAAGTGCCGAGCTCTCTCTCCTGACACCCGGCAGCTCCGCTGGGAACAGCCAAATCCCTCCACATTCCCAAGTTTCTCATGGACTTGCCGCAGTGATTTTTTTGGGGTGTGCGGTTTCCCTGCCTCCCCATTGAGTCTTTAAGGCCAGAAACGAGGTGGGACTGAAGGCTTGGACTGCAAAACGAAAGCTCGCCTTGCAGGCAGAAAGACTGTGTGGAAGAGCAGAGGGGCCAGGGTGGGCACCACCACCCCACGTCACACGTGGAAACATCGAGCAGTTAGTAAAACCACAGGGTATTATTTACAAGTCTTGCTTATCTCCTTAAAGAGGGGA